TAGGGGTCCACATTAAGGGCCCATACGTCTACCCTTAGACTTTAGGGGTTCCCTCAAGGGCTCTGCTATTGGGGTTCTAGGGTTCCAGGGTTGAAGATTCAGGAAGTTTAGGGCTCGCTGCTTTTTGCGGGAAGGTGACAGTTTACAGCTGCATATATCGGGTTTCTTCACGTTGCACAGGGGTGGTACAAGGCTTCCCGACAAGTACGGGTTCTTTTCTTAGCATCCTATAGGGAGCCGGCGCGCAGAGTCTGTAAAACTGAACAAACGTATCATCTCTAGCATTCTGCAACCCGAAACGCCTGGTCTTAGTCTCCATATCAGCTCCTTTCTGGTTAGCCTTCTAAAACAACAGACATGGCAACCAAAAAAAGGAACAACAACACTGGGTTCTTGAGGAGCTTAATTTCACGTACCATAATCAAGACACCATACCCATGTTTGCTATAAAAACCCATTATCGCAACTTAATCAAAATTCCTGAACACAAGAACCCAGAAAACGAACAGAGTCGGATCGGAGCCGTTAGGCTTCGGCGTTCATTCTCGAGGACGAAGCTGCTTATACGGGTTTGGGGTTGAGGCTTTCTGTTTTAGGTTTAGGGTTAACTAAGGGCTGATAAAGACCCAAGTGCATCTCTGTCAGTGAACACCCTTAGGTCTAAAGGTGTTCCCAGAGAGCCCATTTCCCCCTAGCGGCCTAGCGCACCAGCGTAACTTAGGTGATGTTGCGGAAGCCTATGCAGGTGCTCAGCAAAGATGAGTGGAGGTTGAGGTTTTGGGGGCTCCAAGCTCATTTGTTCATCCCGTGGTGGAGAACTCGAGACGGAGATGGATTCCCAAACCCTACGTACACCCTAGAACCCAAACCTTGCAATACAGGGAGCTGCATAATTCGCGCAAACACCCCCTCAGTCCCTGTAGAGCTGTACTACTTAAAATGCCAAAACCACATTCCTATTACTAAGGTACCTGTATTACATCCTGAGCTCTGAACTCCAGCAAGTCGCACGGTTTACGCATTCCTGGTCGCTCCGCAGCGTCTCGAGGCGCTTCAGCACGGAGGCCTCGCGAGGGCTGACGACGGGAATAGTGCCACTACACACCCTCAAAACGCCGTCCCGTTCAGGGCTTATAAACGGAGCGTACCTATAACAACAATGATCATGAGAAGACTACAAGAATACTCATCATAGTACTGATGCAAGTTAAGATGGCCAAAAGAATGAAGGTAAGTGTCAGGGTGCAGAGTTCAGGGTGTTGGGGTGTAGGGTTTTCTCAGGCATCTTCACATTCAGCGTCTCGAACTCAAGGTCCCCACTGCACTTCATTTCAGTGCTTTAGGGTTTAGGGTAATCCATGCAGCGGCCCTGAACCATACGTGGCAACCTCGGCCCTTGTCCTGACTGTTTGTCCCGAACCGCCGAAAACATTTCCCCGTAAAGTGCCCCAAACCGAGCTGTACGCACCCATGGACTCCAAAGGATTTAGTTGTCAGTTCGCTTACGCATGCTTACACAGTTTATGATAGTTTATGTCTGCGGGAACGGATCCACACCAACGTGCGTGTGCGCACGTGATTATGTGCATGTATGTATGTATGTA